TGGGCTGGCCTGGGCCATTCAGGTCAGGACAAAGTAAAGTGGTGGTGGTGGAAAGTGCCATCGACTCACAACTGACTTGTGGTGACCCCCTCATGGGGTTTTCAAGGCAAGAGATGAGCAGAGGTGATTTGCCATTGGCTGCCTCTGTGTAGCGAACCTGGACCCTTCTTAGAGAGCCAGTTTGGTGTAGTAAAGAACGCGGACTCTAATCTGGGAGAACTGGGTTCGATTCCCCACTCCACATGCAGCTGCTGGGTGACCTTGGGTCAGTCACAAGTTCTCTCAGAGCTGTTCTCTCAAAAGCAGTTCTTGAAAGAGCTCCCTCAGCCCCACCTACCTCACAGGGCATCTGTTGTGAGAAGGGAGGGAGACTGTAAGCTGCTCTGTGACTCTGCGTGAAGGGCAGGGTATAAATCCAATCTCTTCTTCCTTCTTCTTCTTCTTAGCTTCTGAGCCTGGATGAGATCAGGCTAGCAGCTCAGGACTTCCGTATTTACCTACATACAACTATGAGGTCAACCCTGAGAGGCTGGGGAAGATCTTTGTGGCTACATCCACGTAGCAGTATTCCACCCTGACTTCCAAACCGGAGCAGTGACCATCCACAAGACATCCTCCTCCAGTTGTCCACATTCCAGGCTTTCCCCTTGCTTTGCTGAGCGGTTGGGTTAGAACGGATAAAAGGAAGTACTTCTTCACCCAGAGAGTGATTAACACATGGAATTCACTGCCACAGGAGGTGGCGGCGGCTGCAAGCATGGACGGCCTCAAAAGGGAATTAGATAAGCATATGGAGCAGAGGTCCATCAGTGGCTATTAGCCACAAGGTATAGACAGGAACTCTCGGTTTGGGGCAAGTGATGCTCTGTATTCTTGGTGCCCGGGGGGGGGGGGGTCAACAGTGGGAGGGCTTCTAGTGTCCTGGCCCCACTGGTGGACCTCCTGATGGCACCTGGTATTTTTGGCCACTGTGTGATACAGAGTGTTGGACTAGATGGGTCATTGGCCTGATCCAACATTGGCTTCTCTTATGTTCTTATGCCCAAATCTTTCTGGAAAGATCACAGTGCAAGCCTGTTAGTATGCCATCTGGACTACGAGGTGCACGTTTTTGAACTTCCCATCCCCATAAGCAGGATTTTACTTCTGTCCTTCCCACCACTTCCCTGATATACCCCAGAGGCTTTTAAAAAAATTGTAGTTCCTTCTTTTTTCTTTCTTGCTGTCAAGTCACAGCCAACCTTTGGTGACATCATGGGGTGGTTTGAGTTACTTAAGTTCTTATAGACATATGGAGTAGAGGTCCATGAGTGGCTATTAGCCACAAGGTATAGAGGGAACACTCTGTCTGGGGCAGTGATGCTCTGTATTCTTGGTGCGGGGGGGGGGGAGACCTCAGTGGGGTATTAATGCCATAGAGTCTGCCCTCGAAAGCGGCCTTTTTCTCCAGGTTAACTGATCTCTGTTGCCTGGAGATCCTTTGTAATACCAGAAGATCTTCAGCGGCCACCCGGAAGTTGGCGGCCATAAGATAATTGTATGTGATGAAGGGAGCTTGGACTCTTGAATAAGGTTGTCAACCTTACGGTTGTAGCTAGAAGAGGTCTCCTGCTATTACGACTGATCTCCAGGTGACAGAAATCAGTTCACGTGGAGAAAATGGCTGCTTTGGAAGGTGAAGCCCCTCCCCAAAACCCACCCTCCTCAGGCTCCACCCCCAAAATCTCCAGGTATTTCCCAACCTGGAGCTGGCAACCCGAGTCTTGAAAGCTTATACCCTGGATAACGTGCTCCTGGACTCAAATCTTGCTCTCCCGTTGCACAGACTACAGCGAGGACACTCAGAGCCTGAACCCATGATGTGTCCAAGGCCGCATGATGTCCACAGCCAGCTTGGGAGAAGACCAAGTCCTCTTCTAAGTCCAGGTCAAACACGCAGTTCACAAGCCGAACAGCTGTCTGCTCCTTCTCTCTACTGCACTGCACATCACACCCACACACACCCGGGTACAAGTTATTATGTACGTGATTACGCTTGGGCAATTTTAGGGTTTCTGCCTTACTCATTAGTTCTGTCCTTGGGCCTTTGTACAACAGTCTGACACATGGAAATACAGAAGTTGAAGCTTTTCCTTAGAACAAGAAAATAGGGTGGGCAAGTTTGGTGTAGTGGTTAAGAGTGGCGGACTCTAATCTGGAGAACCTAGGCTTACCAAGTGGCGGCGGGCGATCCGCATGTCTTCACAGGATCCCTGTCGCGGGTACGGCAATATGTGGTGTACCCGCCGTCCCCAGGATGTGACGCTACGTGCCCCGTTGCCAGAGCGACGTGTTGCGTCACATCCTGGCGACGGCAGGTGCACCACGTATCGCCGTCCCGGCAGCAGGGATCCTGTGAAGACATGAAGATCCCCCGCCGCCACTTGGTAAGCCTAGGAGAACCATGTTTGATTCCCCACTTCTCCTCCACATGCAGCCTGCTAGATGACCTTGGATCAATCACAGTTCACTCAGAGCTGTTCTCTCAAGAGCAGTTCTCTGAGAGCTCTCTCAGCCCCCCACAGGGTGGTCTGTTGTGGGAAGATGAAGGGGAGGAGATTGTAAGCCACTCTGAGACTCTGAGTGAAGGGTGGGGTATGAATCCAATCTCCTCCTCCTCTTCTCCTCCTCTATGCATGCTAGGCTCTGTTAAAGGCAGGCCCAAGAAAGAAGTAGGTAATCCTAGTGCAATTAAACAATTAAAACTTTAATCATTCACAAATTAATATGAAGGGAGCACAGTGCATGAATCTGCTTTGTACCGAATCAGACGATTGGCCCGTCAGGGTCAGTATTGTCTCCTCAGACTGGCGGCGGCTTTCCAAATGAGGTCTTTCAAATCACCTACTTCTGGTCCTTTTGAACTAGAGATGCTAGGGACTGAACCTGACAGTCTGCATGACAAGCAGATGCTCTGCCCACTGATCCACAGCCCCTCCTATATTCACCTGCCAATATTCCCCTGTAATTAGCCAGTGGGGCTGGCAGCAAATGGATCACAGATCTTGCAGGATCTATCAAACAACTCGTGGGGGGAACAACAACACCTCAGGTTTCAGATCACATGGAATTGCTCTATTTGTAGAAAAAGCCCAGCAGGAACTCGTTAGCATAATAGGCCACACCCAACAGCAGGAACTCATTAGCCTATTGGGCCACACCCCTGACAGCACAGCTCATTAGCACGTTAGGCCGCACCCACATGTTACCAGAAGTGTAGTCATCCAGCCACACCCACCTTTTGCTTGTTATTCTGTTTACCTTGTTTGTTGTCAAAACCCAGGGCTTTTTTGGTAGCAGGAACTCCTTTGCATGTTAGGCCACACACCCCTAATGTAGCCAATCCTAATGAGTTCCTGCTGTTGGGTGTGGCCTATTATGCTAATGAGTTCCTGCTGGGCGTAGCCAACTTGGGAGCCAGCCGGAACTCCGTTCCTGTGTGTTCCTGCCCAAAAATAGCCCCGCTCCTTATGATTCCTTGAATCTGTGTGTGTGTGTGTGTAAAAAGTACCATCAAGGGCCTGCCAACTTCTGGTGACCCTGTAGATAGGGCTGCCAACCTCCAGGTAGCACCTGGCACTCTCCAGCCATTATGATTGATCTCCAAATAACCAAGATCAGTTCCTCCTGAGAAAACGACAGCTTTGGAGGGTGGACTCTGTGGCTTCATGCCCCCTGAGGTTGGGAAAGCCCTGGGGATTTGGGGGTGGAGCCTGAGGAGGGTGGGGTTTTGGGGAGGGGAGGGACTTCAGGAAGGTATAATACCCTAGAGTCCATCCTCGAAAGCAGCCATTTTCTCCAAAATTGATCTCTGTCGTCTAGGTGTCAGCTTCAGAGGATAGTGTGCCAAAGTGTCTGATGAAGGAAGCATTAACTCTCGAAACCTTGCACCCTGGAAATCTTGTTGGTCACGAAGGTGCTACTGGAGATCGGCTGTAATTCTGTGAGATCTGCAGGCCCCACCTGGAGGTTGGCAAGCCTGTTTACCCTATGCTCACCCACACACGCACACATACACAAGCAACAGCAGTTCAGAAGTATACACCCTCTCAACATGGAGAACGAGCCACAGTGGCTAATAGACATCGAGGGACTTACCCTCTACAACAGCAGGCTCTGCTCTTTTGGAGCCTGAGGGCATCTTTGGAATTCTGACACAGAGTGGCGGGAGCAGCTACAAAATGGCTGCCGCAGGGGGCAGAGCCTGCCACAAAATGGCTGCTGCAGCATACCATCGACCACACAGTGAAGATCCCGGTGCTGTGCTGGTAGCTGCCGCCGAAACGATGTTTCCCAAACATCTGCATAGCCAGTCAAATCTCCAATGGCCAAGGAGAAGAAGCCTTACCTGGCAAAAACCCCACCTACTTTCGCAAAATACTCGGTGGGTGCCAGGAAAGGAGCTGCTGGGTGCCCCGGTGTACTGGTTTGTGGTTAAATGTGTGGACTCTAATCTGGGAGAACCGGGTTTGATTCCCCACTCCTCCACTTGCACCTGGCTGGATGACCTTGGGCAAGCCATAGTTCTGATAAGGGCTGCTCTTGAAAAAGAGCAGTCTCTGTGAAGAGCTCTCTCAGCCCCACCCACCTCACAGGGTGTCTGTTGTGGGGAGGGGAAGGGAAAGGAGTTTGTAAGCCACTCTGAGACACCTTTGGGTTGTGAAGGGTGGGGTATAAATCCAATCTCTTCTCTTCTTCTTCTCGCACTGGGGACCTATGGTCTACAGATGTGTCCACAGCATACCCAGGAACCAGGTATGGATTAGCTCCTTTTCTCTTTGCCTGGAAGGCTTCCAAAGGATGTGACTCAACCAGCACCTCCAGCTGCTGTGAGGGCAGGGCCTTGGGTCATTAATAATTATCACAGCATGCAAACACTCTTTCTCCCCCCCCCTCCTCTCCTGGCAATGGGATTGAATTGCAAAATCCCTTTTCAGCCCCAGAGCAGAGGAGAAGTCTGCTCTGCATCGACGCAGCCCAGAGATGTCGCCCAGCAAGTGGCTGCCTCTTTGGCTAGCATGGTTGGGGGCTTCGGTCACCCTGAGCCAACAATCTCCAAGGTAAAATGGGGGGGGCATACTGGTGGTGGTGGGGTCATGATGTAGGGACCACCATCCTGGTTTCTTCCAGAGGAATAGCTGCGTTTGTTTTCTGGAAGGGCTCTACTGTCTCTAACAATGGTATGCCAGGCAGAAATTCAACCAACGAAGCTCTCCGCCTCATCTTGCTTCTTTTGTGGCTGGTTCTCCACCTGTTGAATTTCTGGCTGTCACAGAGCTGTACACCTGTATTTGTGAGTGGTGTACGAATATTACATATGGCTTAAACTTATTCAGGCTAAACATACCATGGATATGCAGTTCATTCTTTTTACCATACAACCAGGGCTGAGCACTCTGCAAAAAAGGGAGAACTCTGGTGTTTGATAATTAGTAAAACAAGTTAAAAGAATGAATTACTAGGGGATTAAATAAATCTTGATCCAGCTATTTGTAATGTTTGAATTGAAGCAGCCATGAAAACACTGCAGCAGCAATTGCATTGTCAGTAAAAAAAAGTTGTAACCCTGTTTGCTTTAAAATTATTTAAGAGGACTTGGTACTTTGGTTTACTACATTCTACTGCTTTCTGGGCTTAAGCAAATAATTTGTTATAATTGTGTTATAGATTTATTGTCTGTTTTATCCCGATTAGAGGAAGCCAGGTTGAACCTACGGTAAATAAACGATGGCACAGTGTATTCTTTTGACTTAGCTTGTGATGATATTTGCATGCCATTTAACTTACAGGCTGCTATGGCACTTAAAAAGCACATAATGTTTATTAGATGGTAAGTGTGTATGTGTGGGGGGGTTCGTTGGGGCCAGGAAGAGTTAATTAATCCTGGCAGTGGGATAAGCATGAAGGCTAGCAAAAGATCTGGGAGCAGGGCCAGGCTGTGGGAGTGGACGTGGTGGTACAGTTGCCAACTTTGTAACTGGCCTCTGCACCTATACCTTTAAAAGCCTTCCAAACTGTACCAAGCACCAAGAGGTACCATTTAGCTTCACATCATGGAAAGCATCAGTTAACATCTAATTTCTGCAAGAAGATCAAATCAGTCAATCCTAAAAGAAATCAACACTGACTGTTCCCTGGAAGGGCAGATAATGAAACTGAAGCTCAAATACTTTAGCCACCAAATGAGAAGGGAGCACTCACTGGAGAAGACCTTGGTACTGGGAAAGATTGAAGGTCAAAGAAGACGGGGACGGCAAAGGATGAGATGGTTAGACAGTGTCATCGATGCAACGAACATGAAGTTGAGCAAACTTCAGAGGACGGCGGAAGACCCGAAGGCCTGGCGTGATCTGGTCCATGGGGTCGCGAAGAGTCGGACTCGACTGTGCGACTGAACAACAACAACAACAAAAAAGTCACAAGAACAAGCTAGGATCTGTTTTCCTTGGCCAGTTGACAGCCCTTGGGGGGGGGATGCAAACTGTGATGGTCATATGTAAGGAATATGTTTCCCCCACCCTTTATTGCCTGGGGAAAAAACAAAAACAAAAACAACCCTGCAAAACCTGAAGGAATTTCATTACTTGTTCTCCCCTGTGGTGATAGTCCCCATGTATTTATTTTTCCCAGTGCTTTCTGTTAAAGTAAGCTTTTCTGTTGTTTGCAGAGCATCTTTGGGGTGTGACATGAAGCTGCCTTATACTGAATCAGACCTCTGGTCCATCAAAGTCAGTATTGTCTTCTCAGACTGACAGGGGGCCAGGTCTCAAAGCAGAGGTCTTTCACATCACCTACTGCCTGGTCCTTTAAAGTGGAGATGCCTAGGACTGAACCTGGGAACTTCTCATGGCTCTGTCACTGACCCACAACCCCTTCTCAGGGTTCAGATATAACCCTGGGACTTATTTATGGCACCCTAAGTTGATGGGTGGCTCAAGTGGTTAAGACGCTGAACTGCAGGCTGTGGATGGTCGGTAGTTCAGCAGTTCGAGACCCGAGTGTGCCGCATGACGGAGTGAGCTCCCGTCTCTGGTTCCAGCTCCTGCCAACCTAGCAGTTCGAAAGCAAGAAATTGCAAGTAGATAAATAGGTACCACTTCGGTGGGAAGGTAACAGGTTCCGTGCGCCTTGGTGTTTAGTCATGCTGGCCACATGACCATGGAAACGTCTTCAGACAGCGCTGGCTCTTCGGCTTTGAAACGGAGATGAGCACCACAACCCTAGAGTCTGACTCGACTGGCTTTCGAGCAAGGGAAACCTTTACCTTTAAGTTGATGGGCCCTGAACTGGGTGGCCCAGGCTAGCCTGATCTCATCAGATCTCAGGTCTCTGTTAGTACCTGGATGTGAGACCACCAAGGAAGAACAGGGTCACTATGCAGACGCAGGTGATGGCAAGCCACCTCTGCTCATCTCTTGCCTCGAAAACCCTTCAGGGCCACCATAAGCCACTTGTGACTTGACAGCACTTTCTACAACCAAGCTGATGTGGCTAGGTTTGCCAGATCCAGGGTGGGAAATACCTGGAGATGGAGGTGGAGCCTGAGGAGGGCGGGGTTTGGGGAAGGGAGGGACTTCAGTATAGGGTTGCCAGTCCCCAGGTGGGAGCAGGGGATCCCCTGATTTCACCGGTTCCTGCCTGCCACTGGCCAGCTGACCAGTGGGGAGAAGCCCCGCCCCCAACAGCCATGAACCCACGTGATGTCCTCTAACGTGATGACATCATATCATACGGAAGTGACATCCTTGTGCTGGAGATGTCACACGGCAATGCTTTGGTTTTGGGGCAAAACTCTATGGTTTGAGCCCGATTTTACCATAGAGTTTGCCCAAAAACCAGAATGTCACTGTGCAACATCCCCAGTGTGATGATGTCTCTTCCACATGATGTCATCACGCCGGGGACATCGTGCACAACAATTTGCCAAATTAAGCCAAATTAATTCAGTGATACCGATAATTTCCCGAACCCCAGTATCATACTGATACTGGGATTCGGGAATTTCGACAAATGATGATTTTTTTTCCAGGTTTGGGATATCCGAACCCGAAAAATACAGATTTGGGGTTTTTTGCTGCACACTCCTACTGACAACCCTACTTCAGTACCACTGATGGTCTAGCAAACCAGATACTACTCGATGGTTTAATAAACAAGACAGCATTCAGCAGCTAGCTGGGAGTCTACATAACGAATAACAATAGACTATTAAAACCTGGAGAAGCATTGAAATGGGGTCCGAGCCGTCCCATTGTAGAAACCACAGGAGGTGTTACGTAAAACTGTAACACGGAAAAGAAAAAAAGAAATACAGACCACAAGATAGGACTGTTTGCATTCATGTATTCATTGGCATATATTTGTCCTCAGAAGTCTGGTGAAACGTTTTGTACATAGAGACTTTCGTTGATTATGAATAGGTGAAGGAGTTACAATAAGCTTTGATAATACAAAGATATAGTTACTAGACCACCAGGAGATTGGCACACCTAGCCTTGACCTGGGCGGCCCAGGCTAGCCTGGCCATGTTAGATCTCAGAAGCTAAGTAGCCATGTCAGTGTCAGTGATGGTTATTATTTGGATAGGAGACCTCCAAGGAATTCCAGGATCACTATGTAGAGTCAGGCAATGGCAAACCACCTCTGAACGTCTCTTGCCTTGCTAACCCTACGGGGTCACCAGAAGCCGGCTGTGACTTGGTGGCCCTTTCTACCACCACCATTGGCTAGGTGAAAAGTACTGGGTTCGCCGCATGGAGGACTTGGACGACGACATACTGTAGCACACGTTTATTGTACTTCACACAAACAAGACTGACTAGCAACGGCCAACAGGGCCAACTATATACATATCCACCCAGCAACCCCCCATTCCCATTGGAGGGTTTGAATGTCCCGCCAAGGTGGCTATTGGTTGGAGCTGGGGGAGCCAGGATCCGAAGTTTCCATTGTTCTAGGATCCAAGCTTTGGCCTGTTCCGTGGACCCCTGGTGGCGGTCCACACATATAACACTAGGGTTACCAACAACTTGCGGGGGGGGGGGGGGGGGGCCGTGCCGGGGGGGGGGGGGGAGTGTCCTGCCCTTTAAATAGAGGTTTAAGCTGTGGAAATGGGAAGCTGAAACTTCTCATTGCATGGAGGTTAATAACATCACGTGGTAAACAGTATTCTATTAACCCTCTATGACAGGGACTGACCACTTTTCCCAGACCTGTTGACAATCCTACTCATTAGGTAGGCTTGGTTGACAATGTATTCCACAGTGGGGCACGTGGCAGCTCCCAAGGGCCATTTTAGGCTAGGAAAACAGCGCAGAGGAAGAAGGCCTAAGCCTCCTCTCCGTAAACACTGTGGTACCAATTCTAATCAGTCCCCTGTTTCTTGAAAGTACAGAGCTCCCTGATTACTCAGGGACATAGTCTGGGAAAATGTAATGTATAGCCCCCCTACGTTACTCTGTAGGGTAGGTGTCCCAACCTTTTTGAGCTTGTGGGCACCTTTGTAATTCTGACACAGGCTGGTGGAGGCGACCACAAAATGGCTGCCTCCCAAGAGGTGTGCAGCCCAGCAGAAAAATGTCAGGGAGCGAGGTCATGCTCTTCAACCTCTCAGGCAGAATCTCAGCTTAACACAATGTCTTTTAAAATGAACATATCGTTTAAAAATATGTTCTTGCACGTAAACAGCTTATTTTCAGGCACACGGTGAAGATCCTTGTCCTGAGGCGGCAGTGGCCGCGGAAACAACTCTTAAACAATCTGCACGGCCGAGGAGATTTCCGATGGCCAATCAGAAGCTCCGCTGGGCAAAAGCCCTTCCCGGCCCCACCCACTTTCTAAAAATGCTTGACAGGCACTAGGAAAGTCTCAGCAGGCACCATGGCACACGGGCACCGCAGTGAGGACCCTACCTCTAGGGTCTCCAACCGAGTTCTTTCACATGACCTACTGCTTAAGAACGTGGCTCAGAGGTTAAGACGACGAGCTGCGGACCGGAAGGTCGGTAGCTCAGCAGTTCGAGACCCTGGTGCTGCATGACAGAGTGAGCTCCCGTCTCTGACCCCAGCTCCTGCCAACCTGGCAGTTCGAAAGCAAGAAATTGCAAGTAGATAAATAGGTACCACTTCGGTGGGAAGGTAACAGCGTTCCGTGCGCCTCGACGTTTAGCCATGCCGGCCACATGACCACAGAGAAGGCTTCGGACAGCACTGGCTCGTCGGCTTGGAAACGGCGATGAGCACCACTCCCTAGAGTCAGATTTGACTGCCTTTCGAGCAAGGGAAACTTTTACTGTTATTGCTTAAGAACCTAAGAGAAGCCATGATGGATCAGGCCAATGGCCCATCCGGTCCAACACTGTGTCACACAATGACCAAAACCCAGGTGCCATCAGGAGGTCCACCAGAGGGGCCAGAACTCCAGAAGCCCTCCCACTGTAGCCCCCTAAGCACTAAGAATACAAAGCATCATGGCCCCAGACAGTGTGTTCCATCTATACCTTGTGGCTAAGAGCCACTGCTGGACATCTGCTCCAGATGTTTATCCCCTCTTGAAGCTGTCTATGCCTGTAGTCATCACCACTTCCTGCAGCAGTGAATTCCACATGTTCATTATTCTTTGGGTGAAGAAGGACTTCCTGCCTCGATCCTTTTCACTGGAGATTCTGGGAATCAAACCTGGAACCTTTTCCAGGCAAAGCAGATGCTGTACCACTGAGCCTATCTCCTTCCCTTAAATAATTTTTTTAAAGAACGGATCGTTCTATTGTTATATTTATAACATCCTAAACACCAAGGTAGACAAGGAGAGTAATACAATCCAGAATATATAGGGTTGCCAACCTCTAGGTAGTGGCTGGAGATCACCCACTATTACAACTGATCTCCAGGTGACAGAGACCAGTTCTCCTGGAGAAAATGACCTCTTTGGAACTTGGACTCTATGGCACTGTGCCGCAAACCCTGCCCTCCACCCCTCAAAATCTCCAGGTGTTTCCCAACCTAGGGCTGGTAACCCTATCAGAATATATGACCATTGAGCAATTCTCACGTGTGTTTTTTCGAAAATACACAAAAAGGCTCTTTTGTTTACCAGCAAAACAAAAACAGCTTGTGCAGTACTGGAATTTCCATAATTGCTATTACTGGATGAAGGTCCAAAGACAAGACCAGGAAATTGCACTCTGTGGGTAACTGCAGCCAAGCCTCATGTTGCGCAACTATGGAAATCTGCAGTTCCCTCGCTGAAATTTTCTTGGTTTTGGGGGAAGGGATGAGAACAGGCTGTTCTAGAGGGGAAAATGTATGTTGGGTTAAGATTAGAATGTAAGAATTGGGTCTGAGGGAACCGATCCCTTACCCCAACACTGGGCTGAGATGGGCCTAAAAGGGATCAGCTATTGAAGCAGAGTTAGGAGTCCAGTAAAACAGTAAAACAAGGAACTGCAGTAGCTCAAGTGGTTAAGACGCTGAACTGCAGGCTGTGGAAGGTTGGTAGTTCAGCAGTTCGAGACCCGAGTTGCTGCATGACGGAGTGAGCTCCCGTCTCTAGTTCCAGCTCCTGCCAACCTAGCAGTTCGAAAACAAAAAATTGCAAGTAGAAAAATAGGGACCACTTCGGTGGGAAGGGAACAGCGTTCCGTGCGCCTTGGTGTTTAGTCATGCCGGCCACATGACCACGGAAACGTCTTCGGACAGCGCTGGCTCTTCGGCTTTGAAACGGAGATGAGCACCGGAACCCTAGAGTCGGATTTGACTGGCTTTCGAGCAAGGGAACCTTTACCTTTTAAAAACAGTGAGGGGAAATTATTGCTTTCCAGGAGGTTTCTTTTTTTATAGATATTTTATTTATTAAATGTATGAATCGCCCAACCCCACAAGAGGTCTCTGGCTGATTTACAACCTGAAAAAAAGATAAAAATATAATCAGCATAGATAAAGTTATCACAGTACAATAATAAAACAACCAATCCAGATGGCGATCTCAACCCACTTTTGTCAGCTGCAGTGCTGTCTGCACGGCAGGGCATGGAAGGGGACGTGTGGGCCATAGGAAGAAAGGAAGGCTGCCAGTCTTAACCTTTGCTGCCCTCAACTAAAAGCCTGGTGGAACATCTCTGCCTTACAGGCCCTGCAGAATTGTATAAGACCCTGCAGGGGCCTGATGTTGTTCGGCAAAGAGTTCCACCAGGTTGGGGCCAGGACAGAAAAGGCCCTGCCCCTAGCTGAGGACAGGTGGACCTCCCTAGGGCCATGGATCACCAGCAAGTTGTTATCAGCTGATCCCAGCCTTCTCTCAATGGGAGTTTTGCCCTGTGTGTTTGTAGTGTAGTGTGTTAATTCTTCTCCATTTTCATAACGGTGTCAGGTTGCCAGCCATCGACCAGCAACCTCTGGGAGCTTTTGGAGTTCAGGCATAGTGACTGGTGTGTGATCGGGTTGCCAACCTCCAGGTGGGGCCTGGAGAGCTTCTGGAATTAGATCTCCTGGAATTCTCCAAATGACAGAGATTCGTTCCCCTGGAGAAAATGGCTGCTTTGAATGGTGGTCTACGTGGTCTCTATGGCATTGTACCTCACTGATATGCCCTCCCTCCCTAAGCTCCACCCCCAAATCTGCAGGGATTTCACTCCTCAGAGTTGCCAACCTTATGTGACATCACTTCTTGTTATGTACTGCCTAGACTTTTTCTGTGCTGGTACTCACTGGTACTAAGTACCAGCACCTTTCTTTCAGAGGTCTCCCAGCTCCTGGGGGTGGGGGATTGGTGGAAATCGGTGGAACCTTATATCTGAATATTAGCACCTTCTTTGTTTACAAAGAAAGCACTCTGTCCCCTAGCGATATGGGAAATTCCCAGAGTGGAACTGGAAGTGATGCTGTGATATTGCACAATGTCACTCCCCACCCCACCCCCCCATTCAGCTCCCCCTGCACCATGGAGCACCAGCAGGGGCCGTGAGCCTGGGGGCGGGACTTCTGCCATAATGGGTATGTGCAGGACTTTTTTTGTAGAAAAAGGCCGGCAGGAACTCATTAGCATAATAGGCCACACCCAAGAGCTGAAACTCATTAGCATATTAGGCCACACCCTGACACCACAGCCCATTAGCATATTAGGACACACCCCCGTGTTGCCAGAAGTGTGGTTATCCAGCCACACCCACCTTTTGCTTCTTATTCTCTTTACCTTGTTTGTTGTCAAAACCCAGGGCCTTTTTTGTAGCAGGAACTCCTTTGCATGTTAGGCCACACACCCCTAATGTAGCCAATCCTAATGAGTTTCTGCTTTTGGGTGTGGCCTATTATGCTAATGAGTTCCTCCTGGGTGTGGCCAACTCAGGAGCCAGCCGGAACTCCGTTCCTGTGCGTTCCTGCCCAAAAATAGCCCTGGATGTGTGTTAAGTGCCCTCAAGTCACATGGTCTCCCCTATTTGTGAAACACTCTCCCAAGCTGACTTTTCCCCTCTAAGACTGCCACATGTCCATTACATTTGAATCATAATGAGAGGGACGGCATTGTGAGTCTACAAATATTATATCTCTGCCCCCTTCTCTCTGTGCAGGTTGCTGATGGTCGCCCCCAGCGTGGTGCCTGTGGGGGCAGAAGTGGGGGTCGTCCTTCAGGTCGAGGGAGCCCCCTCTGGGCTCTCGGGCATGGTCTATTTCCAGAATGAGAACACGGGGGTGAAATGCTCTGCTGAGGAGCCCTTTAATCTTCAGCCCAACAGTTTCTTGCAAAGAATTACACTGAAGGTACAAAGCGCCATTTCCCTTAGGGAAGGTACTCCCAAGTCTAACTTTGGCCCCAGGAGAAAAGGCCTCTTTGCGTGAGCAGTGAAGAATATGTGTCTTCGAACATGTGCAAAGTACCTCTCCTTCAGCACTAATACAGACTAGTGATTTGGTATGAGTGGGGAAGGCTTCTAGCATGCAGTTCAGGGCCATAGTGAGGATTTTTTTTTTAATTTCAGGGGACATTTAAATAAGTTGGGGGGCACTGTGTCAGGAGCAATGAGTAAACGTTTTTAAAAAGAGAGACGGGGGGGGGGGGGGGGTGAGGGGCAGATATGCCCTGTGGTGTGCCTCACCCACAGCCAGCCCAGCCAGAGGTACACTGCCGGCTCAGCTCAGTGCAGCCACAGCATGTGAGAAAAATAAAATAAACTGGCTGGATGGGAAGTTGGTAGGCCTAGGCAGTAAGTCAAGGGACCCGGCCCTAAGATGCCCCTCTGTAGCTATGGGCCTGTCAGGGCTCTTTTTGTAGAAAAAGCCCAGCAGGAACTCATTAGCATAATAGGTCACACCCAACAGCAGGAACCCATTAGCATATTGGACCACACCCCTGACAGCACAGCTCATTAGCACATTAGGCTGCACCCACATGTTACCAGAAGTGTGGTTATCCAGCCACACCCACCTTTTGCTTGTTATTCTGTTTACCTTGTTTGTTGTCAAAACCCAGGGCCTTTTTTTGTAGCAGGAACGTCTTCTTTGCATGTTAGGCCACACATCCCTAATGTAGCCAATCCTAATGAGTTCCTGCTGTTGGGTGTGGCCTATTATGCTAATGAGTTCCTGCTGGGCGTGGCCAACTTGGGAGCCAGCCGGAAGTCCATTCCTGTGCGTTCCTGCCCAAAAATAGCCCTGGGCCTGCTTCTAGGGGGTTTGCTAGTTGTGCTTATACCCAGGTGGACAAGTCACCTAAAAACTCTTTCCAGTCATTTAATACTGGTTCAGCTATCTACTCAATGCATTCTTATCCAAGCCTTCTGTCATGGCTCAGATGGTGTGTCACGTGACGCTGCCACCACTCTGGTTTTAGGATCCCTTGAGAAGGCCCAGAGCACCCTCCCAAGACCTTCAGACCAATGTTCCCTCTAAGCTGTGGAGTCTTGTAAGCAAAAATTCTACTTTGTGAGCTACTGGCGGTAGAGTTGTGAGCGAGCCATTTGGCTGCTGCATAAATTAGTTTGCTCTGGAGCCCTCCTTCCTGAGCTAAGACAAAAATGTGTGAGTCAGAGTCTAAAAAACTGTGAACTGGCTCACACTAACTCAGCTTAGAGGGAACACTGCTTCAGACCTCCCTTATTTGGCAGAATAATATGCGTGAGAACCAGGCAGAGTAAACAACAAGGAAAAGGTTTATTTTTACAGGAGGTCAGCCCAATATGGGAAACAAATAAGGTGGAAGAACAATATCAGTAAGGGGTGAAAAGAAAAGAAACCAAACGCATCTAAACTTACTGTCCCTAGCTCACTGTCCCAAGCGGGCCTCAGTCTGCTCACCTTCCTCTCAGGATGAGGGTCTCTTCCCTGCAGCGGCCTTCCTTCTGGCCCTGCTCTCTTGGAAGAAAGAACAGCTCTTTTTTCTGTAGCAACTCTTTTATTATAAGTCCCCTTTCTCTGGGATCGGCTAAAATTGGCACCAAAACCTCTCAGGGACTTCTGGGAGTTGTAGGCCAGGCCTCCTCCCACTGCTACTCAGGCTCCCTGGGCCTACTAGGCCTCTAGTTGCATAGCCCAGATCATGACACCTTCCTTCAAGGAGCTGGAGGCAACGTACATGGTTCTTCTTTCCTCATTTTATCCTGGCAACAACCCATTGAGGTAGCTGAGGTAGGCCTGCCAGTCTCCAAGTGGGACCTGGGGATTAGGTTTGCCAAATCCCACTGGGGGTAGGGCTGCCAAGTGGGGGCGGGGTAGGGTTGCCAAGTCATTCTTACTCACCGGCGGGGGAGCGTTCCTTCGGTCCAGGAGCTGCCAAGGTATGCGTGCGCGCTTTGCGCGCGCC